TGAAACAAAAGCATTTTTTGGAAAAAATAAAAATTAATCAAAATGAACAAACCTGCTCTCAAAAAAATGAAATGGCAGATGTCAAAACAAAATAAAACCTACCTCTGATGACAAATCATATCTATTTCCATCCCGCTTCATACACAACACATGATACACTGATCAACTAGTGTAGTGGAGCCCAATTGTGACGTCACAATTTGTCCAACTTTGGAACAGCTTGCTCTCAATTTCAGGCAGCTAACAAAATTTACTTCATTGTTTAATTTTAGACTACATGTATACTGCAACTACAAAAATCTTTTTTTTTTTAAATTTGTCAATTCTCATTTTCTTACCTTGGCTTTGCCCTGGAAGTTGAAGGTGAGGACGTACTCGCCGGGCCGCGTCTCACTTTGGCGGATCACAAACAGCCCGTGGCTCCTGGCTCCGCCCGCCAGCACCAACTGAGCCGCACGGACGCGCGACAGCGTGCCATGGAACCACGGATACCCGGCGAGGCTGGCGTCGCCCTCAGAATCCTTGGATCCCTCGCCGCCACCTGAGCATCCTACAAACAACGGGATTTTGGTCATCATGATCATGCTTCAATATTGACTCTCTCACTGTATCATTTTTTGTGGCCCGCTAAAAAAATAAGTGTTGACCTCTAAATCAGTGTGTTGGTCTCAAAATTGCAAATGATCTTTCACTTTTAATAACTTGAGATATTGCTCGCATTTTTGGACAATTTACAGAACATTTTCAATTTGGCAAACTGTTGCCGTCACCATACTAGGATGTGAAAATTATGGCCCAACCAGGCAAGAGCTTTGGCTCTTCCAATCACCACTAGTTCATCTCAACTTTCATCACATTGTAGTCAACTACAAAACCGGACTTATTTTGGTGGCTAACATGCTAACATAAATTTGTAATGCTCCTCACCAATCTTCCCTATCACACAAACTTGACCAATTACCCATTAAAATCGAATTCAGTCCCATGGCCCGTTTTTGTTCATTTTGTACTTTAATCGTTTTTTCGTTTCCTTTTCAAAATAACCTGCCTCTTTTTCTTTCAAGATTTGCAAAAATCAGTTGAAAATGTTAAGAAATGAACGGTATACAGAATCATGAAGAAGTGTAGAAATGATTGCCTGTTGGAGCGTTGGAGCCCTGGGCCTCTGGGGACTGCAGGAAGCGCTCTAAAGGCATGTGGGATGGATGCTGGGTGAAGGGGGGTTCCCTGCAACGCACTGAGGGAGCACTGTAATGCTCTGCCGCTGCGGCGCATAACCTCTCCGGAGCTCGGTACACACCTAAACAAGTCAGTTTCCATCCGTTACGAGACATCCGTATTTACGTGCCGATGTGAACGTGACGATGCTGCCGCGGGGGCTCACCCTCAGAAAGCAGCTCGCAGCTGCAGGAGGTCACCATGGAGCAGTCTTTGGATGAAGCCTGACCGTGGGGACACGACGCCAGCTCAATGTCGTCGCCGCTGTCCCTGCAAACGAGGACGCCGGGGTGACCACCAGAGAATGTAAACAAACAGCACCGTGTCCAAACACACGTCCTACAAATAAAGTCCCTGTTGACGTCCAGACCAACAAGAAGGAATGTCAGTCATTGCTGTGCGTGTGTGAGTTTGTCCATGTTTGTGTAAAGGGAGCCTGTCAAAACGTCCGCTAATTGGATGATTAATGGCTGTGTGTGTTTCTGCCCTCCTTCTGT